CTGGAAAGGTGCTCCATACCGACAAGGGACGAACGAGTGGGTACGTGTTTTTCATTGCCAAAAACTTCTTCAGTTAAACTGGAAAGTCCCCAAGTCACGGATGCTTATCAGTCTGCTGCGGTTCAGCAAAGAGACACACTTCCAGCACATACCGACGTCCAACACGATATGTGGAGTCATGATCACAAGAGCAATGCCTCTGGCAGTGACTGCAGTCTATCGGATCTGAAGTCCAATGACACTTTTTTGGCGTTGTCGAAACTCTACAAAGAAATCCTACGTTTGCTTGGTGAAGACCCGGAGAGAGACGGATTGGTACGAACACCAGAAAGGGCAGCAAGGGCAATGCTATACTTTACCAAAGGATATACAGAAAATATCGACCATATTCTAAACGATGCGATTTTTGAAGAAGGGCATAACGAGTTAATTGTGGTGAAGGATATTGAAATGTTCTCAATGTGCGAACACCACCTCGTCCCTTTCACAGGTCATGTGACAATTGGCTATCTACCGAAAAGCAAGGTCATTGGATTGAGTAAACTAGCCCGAATCGTTGAGCTGTTCTCCCGGCGAATTCAAATACAAGAACGCTTGACAAGAGAAATTGCGGAAGCCGTGCAGAAGGTTGTGGATCCAGCCGGTGTTGCTGTGCTAGTCAGAGCTAAACACATGTGTATGGTTATGAGAGGGGTGCAAAAATTAAACGCCGTCACACAAACACAGAGTATGCTCGGAGAGTTCAAAACGAACGAACAACTGCGACGTGACTTTCTTCACCATGCATGCTAGCTGAGCAGGTCAAACCGTTGACAGTAAGAATAACGGTTAAACAAATGTATATGCGACAACGTACCTCCAACTTACTTTGCCTTCTTATCGTAAGAAAACGGTGACTGGGAGTAATGTTTTATAGTGTTTTCAATCAGAAAATGACTATTTCCGATCAGTGGTATCAGGTTGTTCGTTTTATTGATCAGTAAATAAATCGGTTCATCCGGAGAATGTGACGTAAAGGAAATTCTATTTAACTCCAAAAATGATATCATTGGCTAAAGCAGACTACTTTTGACCAGCAAAATGGTCTTGTACCTCTGTACTGCGTGTTGAAAATGGTTATAAGTGACCAGAGTAAAGCTGTTGGTAAATAGCTTGGGGGAATACTTTAAAGGTGAATTTAACCAGTTTCAAGGCTTTTCATTTCGTACACTTTAGATGCAGTGATCAATCTCTAGAGTAGTATACATTACCTAGCTATGTATGTCTTCGGTTATTTCCTGAAATCTCAGGATTTTTAAGCCGGTCTAATGAGCCAAGAAGACGGTAAAACCACCAGCGAGCTTTTTAAGGTTTTTGCATCTCCAGACTTGATATTAAGACCAGGAACCTTGTCGCATTGTGATAAGACTTCATTTGTAGCACTTGAGATGCTGAGGCTAGATTCAAACCACGGACCTTCTGGTTGGTAAATCGGCGCCTTTACCACCTAGCTATATCGAAGTACCACTGGCGTATCATCATAATCTCTTTGCATTTATGTTTTCAGGTTTTATCAGGTGGTCCATGACACAATAAGTAACTTTCTCGCCATGACAATAATAGAAGCATTCCTGAACTGACAAAAAGGAATAGTAAGCCATCTTTTGAAGTTAGTCACGTCCCGTGACTTATTTAGCTTTTGCTAACCATATTTGTTGTAGAGAACCTCATAACGATTTTGGTAGGTTGAGTGTCTTGGATAGCCAACCATCAAAACCAAAACGGATTGCATGGTAATTACTTGTCATGGTGCTTCCCTAATCTGATAAAGTTCATCTATCGTTTAAAAGGGCGAATTTCTACCAGTCATCACATAGGACACAATAATCAATACAGAGTTCTAGGTTACTGAGAAAGACTCAGCATCGATTACTAGGCCGACACTGTAGGTGTGGCTGACAACGGCTCATCAGTAAGTGTGTTCGTTCCAAGTAGCTGACTGTGAATTCTGAAGCGAATTCTGAATTGTGCATTGTCAGGAACTGAACCAAGCCTGCCGGGTATTGCCAGTCTCACTCCGATGGAACGAGAGATGTTCTAAACAAGGATCCTTGTTCTAGGTACATCTCACTGACCTGCCTGAATTAGCGCATCACATAGGTGCATATGGGTCACATATGGGTGATTTTTCTTTCGGCGGTCAGAGTCGACAAAAAGTGGTCACAACTTCCAGAGTTACTAAATGATGAGTCTGTTGTGTCACTCTCAGTTCAGACTAGTAAGGTCTGTATAAATACTGTAAACGATAGGTACTGGTCGGGTGCGATTAGTTTTGAGCAGGCGTCTCCCGTGGGCCTAACTTTTTTCTAAAAGGAATCAGATGAGATCACCATCATTAGTGATAACAATAGACCAGTAGTAAACAGTGGCGTTTGCATGCCATACATCCGTGAGAGAAGAAAGCAATATTAAACAGTAGAAAGGAAGGTAGGGATAGGGACTTTTACGAAGAAACCTTGTGTCCTCAAGGAAAACGATGACGAATAATGTGGCTACATCAATAGAGCATTTGGTTTAATCCAGCGTCACATTTCAGTGTTACAGTTTTATGGATCAGACACCTAGGCGAAATTTCAAAGAAAATCTGTTGGTAGATACTAGACGGGCACACGCATATGAGGTAAAGATACTATTGTATAATCTCACGCTATTCTGTCAGAAGCATTTCGCAGGATCTACCTTTGTCATGCAACCTGTCAATCTATCCGTTCCCCCAACTGCCCTCTGGACCAGCTCAGAGTTTCCACTTTGATATGACTTGGGTTCTACTGACAACTAAATGTCTGTACTCCCGCGTTTTCTAATTTAGTAAGCACCGTTTATTTCATTATTCACTCCTATTTTGATCTGACACAGAGATTCCGGAAACACTGATGTCCATTACTGTGTTCCTGTTAAAAATAATACACTACATCATCATCATCATCGTCGACAGCATGACATCAGTGTTCAACACCAATGCTTCACGGCCGTACAACCATGGCTTATTTGAAAGCCTTATTGTAAAGAAAAGAGTATAGGTGGACGGGGGATGTACTTAGTGCTAGCTTAACACAATCGTTCCGAGGTGCCTGCACCT